AGCATTTATAGATACACACGGGTTAGGATACACACCTTGCTTAGTCCAGTGAGATGATCTCACAGAAATGATACCTCAGTAGCAATGAGCACACCCAGCTTTCAGGCCTTGGTTTCTAACACCATTCTCAAAATAAACAAACAAACAAACAAACAAACAAATAACAGGCACCAGGGCTCCTTGGAGAAATGGCTGACTCTAGGATTGAGACAGGAACTATGCAAGAGGAGTCTGCAATGTCTTGTAGTGTCAGGAAGAAAGGAAGCGCTAGACGCACACACACAAATACACATGAGGTGGATGTATCTTCCAGACACAGGCGCCTGCTGAAAGAGCTCCCCACAGCCAGAACAGGAAGAGCTTGAGCAAGAAAATACATAAAGTAACATTAGATTCCAATCCAACGAATGAAATAAATACGTACAAGTACTTGTTGGCATAAATAAATGATTGAATAAATTAATAAATGGTGGAGAATTCCTGTGCCAAAGAAGTCAAAATAATTTCTATGGGTTCTCCAACCTACAGGAAGGGGAGCCTAACTTCCCACTCTTCAAGTGTGGGCTGCAGTTAGTTATTTACTTCCAAAGAATATAGGATAGAAAGCGGTAGTGGGGGAGGGACCGTAAAGAAACCTGGAAAAGCTCAGCTAGGCCACCAAGGTCAACAGTGACAATGAGAAGGCATTTGACAGCCTTGATAGGACATAATGAAAGGAGCATTTTACCTCTGTGGGTTTCTTCCCAAAAGCCCATAACAGCAGGCTACTCGTGAGATAAACAGCAGACCAATTCCAGTAGAGGGGCAGCCTGTATTCCTGACCAGTACTGGTGTCTACCTGACCTCCAAACTGTCAAGGTCATCAAAAACAAGGAAAGCCTAAGAAACAGCCAGTGAAGAAGAAACTAAGGAGGCACAGCAACCAAATGTGATGTTGCACCAGATGGGACCCTGGGACAGAAACAGGGCATTCGATACAAACTCAGAAAATCCCAATGGACTGTGGACTTCAGGTATTATGCACTGATATTGGTTCATTCATTTTAATAAATGTACCGCACTGATGTTTGATGTAATAATAAGGAACCCTGGGTGCAGGGGACTCTGTATTATCACCTCAATGTCTCTGTAACTCTAACGCTTCTGTAAAATGTAAAGTCTAATATAAAAAATTCACAAATATGTGTAAGAGATGGCCTCTGTTCTCAAGGAACTTACAGCTGACGGAGGAAACAAACACTGAGAAATGACAGGCAAGCGTGATCAGTTTTGTGACAAAGGGAACCACGGGACACACAAGACTTGGTTGGAGGCACAGCAAACCACAGAGACCTAGGGAATGCTGAGGGAGAAAATGATTCTGGAGTGAACGCTACCAGAATCAGGAGTGAAGAGAAAATGAAAAAACGCAGGAAGCGATGCAGTCTGGCTTGAGCGGTTCCCTTCACCACCAGGATAAGAGCAAGTTCCCCGGACTTTCGCAGTCACCCCACTTTGATTGCAAGCTTCCTTTCCTGATTTGCCTCCAACTCCCTGACTGTGTCACCATTAACTCTCTGCTCCCATCAGACGTGGATACACGGAGTTCTTAAACAAGCCTTGTCTCTCTGACCTCCTCTGCTCATGTCATCATCTTGGGACAGCGAGCATTTCTTTTTGCCTCTTTAGAAGGCTATGCCAAAAAAAAAAAAATGCCATGCAGTCTTGAACACCTGCCCTGTATTACACACTCCTTGAAAATTCCAGGAATGTGAGGCCGCCTGGCTGCCCCAGCCTTGGCATGGAGAAGATTTCAGGGTCAGCTTTCTTATTCATCATGACCATCTGGCTACAGATACCTGTAGCCAACCTGGGACCTAGAAAGGACTCAAAAGGGCCGCCACCCAAACTGCCCCAGACCCTCCAGAGGTCGCGGTGACCACTCATCTGGACTCAGACACAGAAGGAGCTTTACAGAAATCCCAGCCAGGCAACACACCTTTGATATTTACTCATAGTTGCATGAATGTCCACATAGTCAAGCTTTAAAGCAAGTGTTTCCTGAAAATAAAGAAATCCAGAAATTAACAGGGCAGTTTGTCCTCCTCACTCTAGTTTCTGGAACAACCGACAAGCACCTTGTCCCTGGTGGCCAACATGCCCCCGGGATTATGTTCGCTGACCCATCGCTGACAGAGCTGACACCACTGGAAGATACTCAAATCATGTCTATGCTGATGAACCTTCGGACACAGCTCAGCCTACCACTGGGCAACACGAAGAAAGCTCTCAAGCTGTGAAGACTGAATTGGAGGGAAGAAACAAAACGCGCAAGGTCTTCCGTGGGTGTTAGGCCTTGAGACGTGGAACCGGAGGACATGTCAGAAGACTGCAGGAGGCAGACGCTCTGGTGGGCAGGCTGGTTAGATTACTGTTTAATGTTACAACAGCTGGTCTTCTATTTGGTTTCAGGTATGCATGTATGAAAATACTATTGTATGCTATCATAATGAGCCATACATAAAAAAAATTCTTTTGCAGGTATTTGAGAAAAAAGAAAATTCCCAAATCTTTCCAGTTCATAAATTTCCTACCCCTTCAAACTCAAAGCATTTTTTATCACACTGTGAATCCAATCTGAATAATTCTACTATTGGCTTTTCTTAAAATAATACACAATAACTTTGGAACTGTTTACATTGTGATGTGCTTATATATTTTTGCCTCAGTTATACCCTTCAATTCTCCAAATACTGGACTGATGTTGGAATGAATCACTGTTTAAGAATTTTAAGACTCCTTAGCTGTCACCTGTCTACAATTTGATAGAGGGAAAAGGATGGGAACTCATTATTGTCAGCATATCAGGAACTCTGGAAAGAATGTAAAACCTGGTAACTTTTCCAGTCCCCCGGAACACCTCTAAGTATTATTACCACCATTTTCTGTAAATTAAAACTATGGGGGTCACGGTAGCTGTAGAACCCACTGGCACATCTATCTAGTCAGCATCCTGAATGGAATTCACCGAGCAGGAAAACCCAGGCTATTTCTCCTGAGCGTACTGCCTCCTCTATGCAAGCAAAGGGATTGGGACCCACACAGGCAAATGCGTTTCTCAACATTATAAAGCCATTTCAGGGCAGGACCAAACTGATTGTCACTTCTGTGCAGTGGTCACACAGAAGACATATTTTCAACACCCCAGTTCAGCAGTTTCCTCCGTTTTAAAAAGGGGACTTAAATAGCATGTATCTCCTAAGGTTCTTATAAGGAATGAATGAGAAAACATAGGTAAAACACTCAGAGCATCTGCTACACAGCAAGGTCGGCCACCATTACTGTAACTCCCATCCTCAGTTGTCGTACAATTTCTTCTTCTCTCCTAGGTCTTCTCTGGCATTGAGAACACCCAGTACTTATTTGTTTTACTGTTTCTGGTTTTACTTTTATGACCGTCTCTCATTTTCTAGAGTATAAAAAATGAAAGGATATTTGACTTCAGTTCAAGAGCCTGACAGTTTAGTCACACTTAAGTGCTTAAAGAAAAAGAAGGGTGTAGTTAAGGCTGTCAGGAAAATATGGGGCTTGTCACACAGCATTGGGCAGATAGTGACAGGGGCAAAGCTGGTGCACATAACCTCTCTGTCCCCCTTTCCAGACATCTTAGGATGGTAAGGTAGGGAGCTGACAGCGAGAGCACACTGAGGAGAGATACTATTGCAGATGAAACAACAAAATGTGTAATACATGCTAGTAATGAAAGAAACTGCTGGTTCTCTCAGTTCTCAGGTTTAATAGCTTCTCGTTGTGAATAATATCCCTCTGAAATATGAATCTATGTACAGGCTTGTATTACATAATTAAATACGTCTTTGATCTGAAGGTCTTAGACTCATCTAAGCAAACTCAGCGTTGAACCACTGATTTATGGGATCACTTTCACTGCCACAGTTAGGGTGATGCTCAACACAAAGGAGAAACGGGGGCTCCATTCGTGGCAAACGTCACTATGTGACATCCGAGGAAAGAGGGGTGGCTGAGGCCACAAGAGTTATCTTCATTTGTTGATATTAAAACAGTAAACACAATTTAACAGATGTTTGAGTGAAAGTATACAACAGAATACTCTATGGACCCATCATGCAGAAAAGGGAGACTCAGTGACACGTCTTTATTTGGTCGCCACACCATATAGGCCTGAATTCATCTCATTAATGTTTCCTTAGGAGAAGGCGCCTGTGTCAGTACTGACAGTGCCCTCCATCGCAGGCAGAAATGCACCACCTTCAGCTCCTCGGGCTTAACGATGCCCGAGGTCAGTGGGTGTCACTTGTGCTGGGTGACCTGAAAGTCAGGGGAGGCCTGAGTCAACTCCCTCCTTACCCAGGATACACAGGCACTATTTTAAAGGCTTTCATTCTGTATGTCATTATAGATGGAGATCAAAACTGTATGGCGAGGGTCACTCTAAAGTGTTTGATCTGAACGGGTCCACTTTAATTCCGTTAATTACACGGAGGCTGTGATCATGTAATCGTCTAGGACAACTGGTCACCACATTGAGATGTGTGATGCATATGAGATCTTCCTGGCTCCATTATCTGATAGAACTTTGCTGTGAATAATAAAAGGAAATTATACGTGAAATATGTCAGAAATAAGGAGCATTATAAGAACATTTGTTGTATTTTTATTCTTTAAGTGGACCATGCCCATAGCAGAGCAGGTAAGTTTTTATCTATTTATATGGTTTTATTAAAACAAATAGGATATTAGCCGTGATATAAACAAATCAAATTTGGAAAGACTAGATTTTTATTTTGGATTCATGTGAAAAAAAGTCATAAATACTGAAAGAAAATACCATGATCACATCACTAGCTTTGCAGATAGTTAACTACAGTAAGCTATCACCTGTGATTTACACTAATGTCTAGCACTGATATGTGCCCACTGTGAAGACAAAATATTTAGTGGATGAGCCTAAGTATTAGGTCAGGACAGTCAGTGCAGCGACTTGGAGGTGCCAGGGCTTGAACCTGGGGCCTCGTGCATGCAAAGCATATGCTCTACCCCTGAGCTACACCCCCAGCCATAGGACAGCTTGATATGCTGATGAATCAATACAGTCATTCCCTTTTAAAAAGATGAGCCAGGCAATCTCTATCCAGGGAACTAAACAGCACTAGTTCCTTGAGTTTCACCCTCCAGTCACAGGAAGTTCTAAGCGTTCCTTAGGCACCTAACATTTGTCCTGCTGCTTTGTGTTTCAACATCATGCTGTTTCCCAAACCTTGTTTACAGAGATGGTGAAGCCCCACCTCCCTTCACACTTCATCTGATTTACATGGTCTCCTCCTCACAGGTCCAAGAAAATGTTTTCATTATATTCCACAATTTTCCCATTACTTGTGTAGGGACAGGGAAAAAAACAACTTTCTCCTCTCCTATGTTCTCTAGCTGAGGTCCCGCAAATGTGAGTGACAAAGACAGATGGAGAAGAGAAAGGCAGAGCTTATTATCACGTGCAGTGCGCAGACAGGTGGGAGAAACGCAGAGACGGGTAACTCAAAGGGGTGATCAGAACTTGCGATGTGTACGGCACCGAAGGACAATCGATGTGTAGAGAAGTGACAAGACAAAGGGAAGGGCTTTAGGCTGTTGGGGTGGCAAACCATGAGACAGTGAATACACAGGGAAACTAATGGAAGATAAGGACCCTCCAGTAAGGTTTGTTTCCACAGACTTCTCAGTGGCTTGCTGTACCTGGTGACGAGGCTGGTATCCGCTCCCTGGTACAGTGGGTGGGGGGGCACCTTCACAAGGGAATTTAAAGTCAGCTTGCAGGTGGGTGGGGGAAGGGCAGAGAGTTCATTGTTTGTCTACCTTTTCGCAATTGCCTTCAGTTCAAGAAATCCTATTTTTTGAGGAGTGGCATATTTGGGGTAACATATTCTAAACTCCTTCACTTTCATCCTGGGGTGAGGGTTTAAACATGTAGAGGGAGCATACTTGTTACCATAATGATGCCTTCCTCAGGACGGAAATGACAATGTGTTCGCTGACAGCTGTAACCGCCCACGCCAGTTACATGGCATGGTCGGGGCCAGAGAACCAGCATTGCTCTGGGTGGTCCTTTTCAAGAGACATATGTCTAAACATGGAGAACTGACAGCATGTGATTTTTACTGGCTGTGATGATCAAGTTTTCTGACAAATAACCTTTTCACAATGAAAGGACAGAAAAATACCACAAGTAAATGGAAAAGCTATTTTTTGGTTTCATCTACTTGATTACAACAACCCATAATGCTGAATGCAGTATATCCCTTGATATGATATTAGCATAGGACCCTCTAAATATTTTATGAGCTCATTGGAGCCTTACAGGAAATCTAATTTCCGGGTTATCACTAACGGCACACTCTGGCTCTGACACTGTTTCTCTTCCCTAAGATGCAAACCTTAAAGCCCATCTTTGCTCTGTCTTAACAACCTTTGGACATCTTGACCGAGACACAATACTAGGAATAACAAAATCGTTTACGAACCAACCCAATGATTCAGGATACTTATGCCAATGGAACTAATAGGAGGCATGGTCCACAATAATGTAGAATTATCAAAGGGGAAAAAAAAGGACCTCTTTTCCTTTTAGCTCTGGTTCCAATGTAATGACTGCTTTGGAAAACCTTTATCCTAATATTATGTTTCTATATAATGCCAGATATTTCACACACACA